TCCAGCTGACCCCGAGCAACGACTTCCTCTCCCAGCCTCAATTTCTTGCCTGAGCAATGGGGCTAAGAATCGGGCCTCACCTCCCTGAACCTCACACCAAAATGCGCCCCCACCTGCTGTCTACAGACAGGTGACTGGGCTGGGAGGTGAGCATTCAGCCACCATCCTCCTGCTGGGGTTGACACCGGCCTGACTCCCTGAGTCTGTGCCTGGGGGCCCTCTCGTGCCCTCCCCTGCTGGCCGACAGGTATTCACAGTGGCTGGAGGGAGAAGGGGGGACCATGGCCTGTGGTGGCTGTTCCCTCTTTGGCTCAGTTCTGGGTGGTGTCTCCCTGGAGCCAGAGCTGGGCTTCTCAAAGTGGGGTCCTGGCCCCACTGCATCAGGGCCACCCCTGCGGGGGAGAGCAAGGTAGAGCAGATTCCTGCCCCCATCGCATACACCCTGTGGGCTGCAGCCCAGACCCTGGACACCTCCAGCGGGCTTCTGACATGGAAGCATCAGAACCAATCCTGGTCACCAGGGGAAGGTCTCTGTGCTCACCTCGCTGAGCGTGGAGCGTGGGGCGGCCCTGTGCAGGCACGGGGCCAGGGACCCACACCCAGCCGGAGAGGTAACGTCTTAGGATCCCCCGTTGTCAAGGCAGGCCTGAGGCTCAGCGAGGTGGGCAGTTTTGTCCAAGAAGGGGGTGCTGGGAGAGGTGGCTGGAGGGCTAGGAGGGGGCTTAGGAGACTGTGGGTGCTCTAGATCCAGACCCAGGTGTCCGATACTTCATCCCTGCTGCATCCTCCTTCCCACTTCCCTGCCCTGCTGGCTAGATGAGCGTTCCTACATTGGGCCAGGACCTGACGGGTGTTAATGAATGGGAGAACACACTAAGTCCCTGCCCCTGGCTTCCCAAATGCCCCAGGCTGACCCCCCCACCCCCACCCCAGCTCTGACCTGCCCTGCAATCAAGAGCTCAGGTGTTCATCCTCACGATGGTCCCTGCACCTTCCTGCCCCCTCCCCGCCACAGTGGGCAAGAGCCACAAGGTCCCTCCTTGACCCCAGGCCCTAGAAGCTGGGCCCACAGCCCTGGCCTTCTCCAGGGGTGGACCCCAGGGCACCCAGCCTGCCCAGAGAGCAGGTATCTGAGCCCCCTGCCTCCCCCGATTCATGCCCCTGCGGTGGAGCCTCTTCTCCACCAAGTACACAGGAGTGGCAACACTGGGGCCTTTGTGGGCAACCAAGGCCTTTGTACACCACCATCACCACCACCCCGGGAAGTGGGCCTTCTGTGCCCATTGTAGAGACGGGGAAACTGAGGCCCCCGCCCTGCGGCTCCTCCCTTGCCTGCCCACCCAGCTTACAGCCCCGACCTGGGCAGAGTGTCCCCGGGGGAGCCAGGCACCACGGACCACACAGCAGGGTGGGCAGGGTGGGCTCCAAGTTCTACTGGCGATATTTTTAAAACCTTGATGCCGGCTCCACCCCAGACACTCTGATCTCACCGGCATCAGGATGTCGCGCAACTCCCGGTGATCCCGATGTCGAGGAAATTGGGAAAGACTGGAATCCCGGCTCCAGGAAAAGCCTGAGGACTGGAAGGGGCTGGAAGGAATCGGCGAGTGCTGCCCCAGCCCTCCAGCAGGGGGAGTGCCTCCTCTCACCTCAGCCTGTCCTGTGTCTGCAGCCAGGCAGGTCCACGGCAGCACAGGGGGGCGGCACAGGGTGCTGGGCTTCCATTCCAGGAGGCCCAGTGTCACCTCGAGACCCTCGGGTTTCTGACCAAGTGGGTCAGTAGGGACTGAGGGGGCAGGGGCCATCTGGTCCTGTCTGGGCCTGGCCTCCGGGGAAATGCCTGCCCATCTCTGGGCCCGTCCCCCAACTAGGACTCCTCGGGGGGCCCTGGGGTGTGTATGCAATGGGGGGCTCACTTGGGTGCTCAGCCTGCCTGGCCCCATCTGCTCTGTCTCTGAACATCTATGTAGAAGGGGTTCCCCTGCTAAAACAGCTGGGGGAAAATGCCAGATTAAGTGACCCGTCCAGTTGGACATTCTGAGCCCGTGAAGTCCCCAGATTCCTCCCCCAGGAACAGGAGGGAAGGAACCTATTCTATGTGATACTGTCATAGTGGACAGAGGGCACGATGCGTTTGTCAAAGCTACGGGACCGCACAGCACAGGGAGCCCTCGTGCGAACTGACTTCAGTTACCAGCGGCGTAACAACGTGGGTTCACCATTGTAACAACCCACCTCCCAGGTGCCAGATGGTAGTAACAGGAAACCGTCCAGGAAGAGGGGCGTGTGGGAACTCTGTGCCTTCTGCACAGTTATTCTGTAAACCCACAACTGCCCTAAAAAATAAAGTCCACTAAAAATAAATAAGTAAAAAAATAACAGCCTGTGGACAGACGGCTGGCCCTTTCCCCCGGTCCCGTCCAATGGCCTTTGTCCCTGCACTGGCCCAGGAACAGGCCTGGGCCCCTCGGGCCACGCTGGCAGAGCCCTGCCCTCCCCTGCCCTGGCTGGGGTCAGTCCCAGCCACCAAGGGGAAGCCTCGACTTTGAGGACAGACGGGACTGTGTGGGCATTAGGGTGGGACTCAACTCTTGACATAGCCCCCTTCCCTGATCGCTCTGGGCTCCGGCCCCACCCTGAGGTCCCCAAGATTTCCCTACCCACCCCGATGGGCTCTGTCACAGCAGGGCACCCGCTCTTTTGTCCTGAGTGGTCTGAGTGTCCTCTCTACCTCCTGCCGGGGCCTCGTCAGGGACGGGTCACACCTCATTGTGGATCCTCCCAACGTCCCTCCAGGGTATGGGTCTCCTCATTCCAAGGGGGGCCTAGACTCTGACCCCCCTCCAGGGCTTCCCATCTCCCCAGCACCTCCCATCCACTCACCTGCTGTTGGCAGGGACAGACAACCCCTCCTCCCAGCCCAGTGCCCATTGCAGGGCCTGGTACACAGTAGGTGCTCTGTAACGTCCCATCCAGAAACACCCGTCCCTGCCCCCCAAGCCTGAGCACCTGCCCCCACCCACTGCCCCCCTCCCCCCCACAGCCTGTTCCCACTGTGATGACAAATTTGGCAAGCCCAGCATTGCTGGTCCACAGGGACTGCCCTGGGCGAGTGTAGCCACAGCGACCAGAGGGAGCAGACAGGCCCACAGCCAGGTTGCCAGGCCATGCTCACAGGCTGCCCAGGGTTCCTGCTTGGCTGCTGAGAGCTGTGGGCTCTGGCCAGCGCTCAGGTCCCCAGACAGTCACTGGGCCCCTGCTGACAGTGGGATGTCGATATTAGGGCCATGCCCCCGCTGGAGTGCCACCCACCTCTCCGCCATCTCACCCCATTGCCCCGAGGGGTTATGAAAACCCACTGGCTCCTGTGCCCCTCCCCCCTCAACCCCAGAGGCAGTGCGCCCCAAGGTGGGCCCTGCGAGAGGGAGCATTCCAAAGAACATTCGGAGGACTCTGGCTTGGGAAGGTGTGGCTCACACCAAGGTCATCTATAACCCCCTGCCTGGGCCTGGATGCCCCTGCCAACTCAGACTAGCAGAGAGAACCACCTAGCTGGGCTCCAGCCACTGTCCTCCACATTGCTTTGTGAGACTATGGGGCCCCCAGCACCAAGGGGGATAGGGGGCAGCACTACCAGGAGGGACCCCCACACCGAGGGTGAATGCAGGGCAGCACCACTCCCCGGGAAACTGTGGGAACCCCTAGAATCAGCAGCTGGGTCGGTGGGGACCCTGAACTAGACAGTAAATCATGGTGGGGGCCAGGGAGCAGCCCCCACACACCCTAAGGAGGGAACCTAGTGTCCTGGCCCACAAAGGCTGGCTCAGTCCTGCCTGGCACTCCCTGAGGGCTAAGGACAGGCCCTTCCTCCCCTACAGCTCACTGCTCATCTTTCTGGGGCTGAAATGTGCCTTGGACTGAGTGTGTGTGCGTGCTTGTGTGTGAGTGTGCGTGTGGATGTGAGTGTACGTGTGGGGGAGGGAGGACACGGGGAAAGCCGCTGCCTCATGGGTGGTCACCTCTCTGCTGTAAGGTCCCTTCCCTCTGGCCACGAGCCACACTTGCTCTGGGCCACACCACGGGGTCATCATCAGATGCCATGGGGCCGGATCGCCCAGAGGCCCAGCTCCCAGCTCCAGGGCACGCCAGGGCCTCCGAGGGCACCCGCTGGACAGAGGTGCACGAAGGTCCAGGGCAGCCTATCCTCTAGACAGTGCGGAGACCAGAGTGGGCACAAGGCCTGGGCACGAGCCGCCAGGGCAAGGCCAGTGGGAGCCCTCAAGTGTGGCCCCAAACCCCCGGCTGCCCAGAGAACCGTGGGACAGAGCTGACCAGGGAAAGAGAAAATGCAGGGTGGCCCGGAGTGGGCACAGGAGCCTGACGCCCAGGGGCTGGCCACGCCAGGCCCGGCCACTACCAGCCTGGTCAGGGAGGCAGGGCCGGGGTGGCGAGGGCTGGGCAGCAGACCCTTCGGCCCCAGGCGTCTTCCAAACCCAAACAGGAGAACCCCCACACAGAACAGACGAGAGCTGGATGACAATGTATTTTTAAACGCTCATGTTTTGTTTGCTTCTCCTCTCACGTTTCTCTCTCCCTCCACGATTCTACCATTGTTCGTCAGACCCTGGCGTCTGTGGCTGCAATTTCTCAGACAGCGATCAGGTCGGAAGTCATTTCACAGTCAGACAGAGCCACAGGGAGGCCACTGGCAACCAGGCAGGACAGCAACGTTTGAGAAATTACTCGAAAGGGGAAGAAAACCCTTGAAAGTTTCAGGCCCACCCCCTGCCCCCAAAGGAAAAAAGATATATCTGAAGCGGTTTTGTACAAAGCCTTTATGCCTCGTCACAAGAGCCCCGTTCTCTGCCGTCTCCGAACATTTCCCAGCACGCTTTTGAAACCTCGGTCTCCGGAAGCAGAAACAAAACCAGCCCCACCCTCCCCGCCCCCCATCATCCATGTATACATGAGGGATAAAATTACATTTGTACAAAAATAGATTTTTTTTTTTTTTTTTACCTTTCCTGATGCTTTAGACATCTTTTCTTTACTCTCTTTACGCATTTGTGACCCTCTCTAAAGTGACAGCTGTGTGTCCCAGCTAAGGCATGGCTAGAGATTGGGAACCTCAAAAGCAGCCTGCTCCAAAGCATCTTAAAATAGATGCACCTCCTCGTCTTCAGATAGTCATTCGAACCCGGATTTCACCAAAGGAAGGGTCCTCAGGTACTTGCTTATAGGAAGCAAGTGTGTAGGAAAACGGGAAACCAAGTCTTGATTAAAAATCAACACAGCTGGTACGGGCTCTGCACGGCACACGCGTGTCCACACCACACACCTGCACAACGGGACGGGACGGTGCACCCTCGTCTGTGATGGGGACAACGTCAGCTGGCTACCCACGACCAGCACCTTCCGCCAGGCCCTCCCAGAGCCACCACAAGGACGGGTTGGGGTGTCTCCCCCAGGAAACCCAGAGTGCCGGCTGTCTGGCACCGAGGCCGCGTGCTTCCAGGACCTCTCTGGCCGCGCCTACGGTGATGAGGGCCGGCGCTGACACAGGCGCCCTCCACCGTCAGGTGGTCACCGGCGGGCCAGCTTCCTGATGGGGTGCGGGGGGAGCCTGGTTTTGCCCCCAGGCGTGGTGGTCTCTGCTCCTTGGCCACGCAGCCACCGTCCGACATCAGAGCAGGGGGACGGGAAGCGGCAGGTCTGAGTCCCGCGTCATCCAGCCGGGTCGAGAGAGGACGGGCACAGGGCGGCTAACAAGCTGATGTTAGTGCTATCTTTAGAAAATTAAAGATTGTCCCACCAAATAATAATAATAATAATAATAATAATTACAAAAAAAATCACCGTAATTGAACCAGATTTGTAAGGGTACTAAAGGTCTGGTTAAATAAAGATCCCACCTCTCTACCAGGAAACATGTCATTTTACCCACGTCACCTTTTCAAACAGCGCTGTAGTTATGAAGACAAAACCACGGGATGGGGGGGACACCTGGAAGAAGTGAGTCAAATGACAGACGTGGGGCGCCGGGCTGGGGGATTTCTGGTGGCGGGAGGGGGCCCCCAGTCTCCGTGATGGATGCCCAGCCGGCCCAGGGCCAGGAGCCACGTTCCCAAGAAGGCGCCAGCCTCCCCACACCAAGCGCCTCGTCCCTGTGTCCTGCCAGCGTCCCCACCCCCCAGCCCAGGTGAGGCGCGGGACACGCAGGGAAGGCGCAGGCTGGTGGGAGGCTTGAAGGAAAGTGGTGGGCGGGGCTGCAGAAGGGACCCAAGAGCTGGGCGTGCAGCTGGCTCTCCCACAAGAGGGATAACCCCAAAAGGGCATCCTCCAAGAGTGCCCGCGCCAGTGTCCAGGTACAGGTCACCCCTGAAGGCGCCAAAACTTCCTGGTGGGGCCTGGGGGGAAGGAAGGGGGGGCAAAGTTGCCAGGAGCGTCCTGCCACAGGACAGGGCTGAGCAGGCAGCCAGTTAAAGGCCCCTCCTAGGCAGGGGCGCGGCAGAAGGAGATGTCTTGGGATCCACGCAGGGACGCCTGGCAGGTGGAGTATGGACACTTCCCTCTCCCCAAGGCCTGGAAACCAGCCTCTCCAGCTGCCAATGCCCTCCCCTTTGAGCCTGAGGAGGCCCCCACAGGGCGCCCCTGCACCAAATGGGAAAACAGCCCTCCACTCCGTCCCAGAGACCCAGGCCAGAGAAAGTGGGCTGGTGAGGAGCTGCAGAGCAAAGCCAGCTGTTACTGAGCACCCCTTGGGGGGCCAAGAAGGCCAGCCCCCCTGCTGTCCCCCGTCCAGGAACCCCCACTGACAAATGCTGGACTCAAGGGGCCTGAGACACAAATATGGATGGTGCCCAGGCCCAAGGGAGGGGACTACAATGCAAAGAGGCCAGTTGACCTGAGAAAGCCCCCAGAGCATCAGAGCCCCACCCTGGGAGGCAGAGCGCCCCCACCCGGGCTAGGTCCCAGACGCCTTAGAAGGGGATCCTAGGCTGGACGGGGCTGGACTGGGAAGGCCAGGGGGGTCCTGCACCTCCACCCCAAGCAGGAGTCTACATGGTACCCACATACCACAGCCCCGAGGACACTGGGCTCAGTGATCCCAGGGTCCCATGAGTTGTCCAGGCAGGGCCAGGAGAGGAGAGGCCGAGAGGGGGTCCACACCCTCACCAAGCCGCTCCTGCAGGCTGCCCCCGCCCGACCTGCGCCACAGCCCCGCTGCTGCCCCACGCCTCTGCCTCCCTCCGGGAGCCCACAGCCACCCAGAGACCTTCTGGGGGAAGCCAACTGGCAAATGCTAGTTCCCCAGAGCCTTCCAGGTGACCGGCAAGATGGCAGACCCATGCTGATGGATTTCTAATGACAAGCCAGCAAAGCCCACCTCTGAAGGGCCCAGGTCCCTCCAGGAAGCCGCTGAGATTGGGCTAGCCCCCAGGGAAGCGGGGACTAGCCTTGACCCACCGAGAAGATGAAGACTGAGGGAGGGTAGGGGAAGCTGGAAGCCAGGTCTGGTTACCACAGGCTGGACACAAACACGTGGGGGGAACCAGGACGATGCAGAGAGAAAAGCGAGCAGGTGGGAGAGTGGCCCCCAAAACCCCACACCCCGAGGTCGGCTCGGCTAACTTGCAAGTTCTCTTTGGAAAGACGGCAGCTCGCCCCAGCAGTCTGAGAAGGGAGGCACGCTGGCCCCAGACGGCACCCTCTCATCTTCCTGGGGCCAAGTGGGGTCTTCAGCAGTGGAACACCGGCCCGCCCACTTATCCCCTCCTGACCCCAGGGGCACCCGCAGGCTGGCTGGGTGCCAATATTGAGAGGAGGTGAAGAAGGACGACTCCAAGCAGAGGAAGGCCACTCGGGGAGCTTGCAAACCAGCAACAAACAGAACCAAGCCAACTGCCCTCCCAGCTCCTCCAGCTCCAGCGGCACCGAGGGCCGGGGAGACGTTGGGCACCCGCAGACCCCAACGGGAGCAGACCCCTCGCTCCAGATCCTGTGCTCCCGCCGCTGCCCTGGGAGACCAGTGCCTCGGTCCACAGACAAGTATTAGTAAAAACGATGACAACATCTCTCTCCGGCACAGCAGTGACAGGTGGCCCCAAGGGTCCACACAGGCCAGGCAGAGAAGGGGGCAGGGCTCGGGCTGAGAAGAGCAGCTGGTGGCCGGCGGGGGCCGGGTGGGCAGGCAGGGCTCTAAGTCATTTGGTGTGGGGCCTCCAGCATCTCCATGAGGAAGGTGTCAATGGGCGTGTCCCCGATGAGTTTGAAGAAGAAAAGATGTTCCAGGCACTTGAGGCCGATGGAGCGCAGGGCGGGCAGGCGGAGCAGGAGCTTGGCGAACCTGCAGGGGAGGGGGTGGGCAGGTGAGGCAGGGGGAAGCCGTTCCTGCCACCCCCCACCCTGGCACCTGGCGGGGTCTCCCTGACCCTGGTGTGCAGCAAGAGGCCTGCCTGGTGAGCCTTCCAGGGGGAGGAGGGGCGTTTAGGCGGAGAAGTGGAGCCAGGGACCCAGAGGTGCGGTTGAAGGGTGCATGGGAGGACCCGGAAGAGGGGCACAAAAATGAGAGGGGGGCGGGGGGTGAGACAGTGGGCCGGGGTAGGCCAGTCAGGGCTTAGCGTGAAGATCAAGAAATGTAGGCTTTCTCTGCGGGCAATAGAGAGCCACAGCAAGATTGAAAGCAGGGAAGAGAGTAGCAAGAATGGATGAGAGCACCAGCGAGCCCGCTGGCTACAATGGAGAGAACACAGGCCCCAGTGGTCATCAGGGAGAGGCGAAGGGGCCTGTGTGAGTGCTGGCAGGACGGGGTGAGTGGGCAGCCCCAAAGGTGACTCAAGGCACTGTGGAGAGGTCATGGGCAGTGTTGGGGCCGGGGCTGCCCACTGGAGGTGGAGCTGCTCCTCAGAGGGCTGGCAGGCCTGTGCTTGGCAAGCCCCACCCCCAGCACCTCTGCAGAGCTAGGGGGTGCTCGGGAAGTTCCCCCCACCAGGCCCGCCCTTCCCCAGAAATAGCTCTGCTCGAGCTGGGGCCAGAGGCACAGTCGCTGGGTGGGTCAGCTGATGCCTCTTCTTGGGCCCTGCCCTCTCTGGTGCATTTCCTGGGGAGGGGCCAGGAAAGTCGAGAGTCTGGGGTGTCTCAGAGGAAGAAAGTCAGGGTCAGCGGCTCCGTGCTCGGAGGCCACAGCTGCCGAGGATGACGGGCTTGCAAGGCCAGGGGTCGAGCACGCAGGGTGAGACCAGGCCAGACGGCCCCTGGGCCATCCCTGCCTGCCCGATCCTCGAATGCTGCCCCGTCTCCCTGCAGGACCCTCGGGGGCTGCAGGGCTTGTATCGATCCACAACGTCCTTCATTTCAGGCGAAGCAGCCTGTGCAGGCTGAGGCACAGCCCCTTTGTAAAGGCAGAAACGCAGCCCAGAGGCTGGAGCGCAGCCAGGGAACACGCTGTTTTCTGCTGAGCTGGCGTGGTGGGCCTCGGAGGGCGGGCAGCCAGGACAAACAACGGCCGCCACCCCTCCCGCCCGCCGTCCCTCAACTCGGGAAGTTCCACTTTAAACCAAACCAGATGAGGCCGAGCTGAGCGGGACGCCGTTAACCGTGTGCACGCCGGCCAAGGGCAGGGTGGGGCCCCGGCTCCATCGGCTCGCCCCGTTCCCACCCAGTCTGCCATCGAGAGACCAGAGAAGCCACCCTTAGAAAGAAACCAGACTCAGAACCCACGAACACACTACAGCACACCCTTCCCTGCGTGCCCACTGTGCGCCAGCACCACAGACCCGAAAGGAGACACAGCCCAGCCCTTCGGGCCCCAGCCTAGTGGACA